CAGGTCTACAGTTAGTGCAGAGAGAGACTCAGCTTTTCTTTTCTTTTTCTTTGCATGCCTGTCTCAAAATGTTGAGCTAACTTCATGAATTCTCCTGTTTCAAATTACGGAATAATGTTAACAAGTGCAGCTGAGAGAATGTAGTAAATTAGAACTCTCTTCATTTGGGAGAAAGAAGATGGTTCTCTTTTCTCCACTGAATATGTGTGAATCCAAAGAGAAGGCTTTTTTCAAGTTATTGCATGGTTCAGGAAAAGAAGGAACAAGCAAAGAAACCAAAATCAGGTAAAAGTATGCATTTTCAACCGGACTTGTATTTTGAAAACATGATTGATGTTGAATATTCGCTAGCACTTATTTCTCAAATTTCTTCTTGAAAATGTAGTGACCACATAAAACAATTGAAATTTTTAACATTAGGTATTTTAACATTAGGTGTTAACAATGATTGAATTTAGAGAGTTTTATTAAAGTGCAGCAAGTTAGTCACACAGAACCAGCAAAATGGTACATCCAAATGCTTTGTAGAAGGTGTAATTAAAATAGTAGTGTATTTTGCTGTAAAGAAAAGTTTCAATTCATGTGTAGTCTGTTCATAATCTCCATGTGCCATGAACACTCTGAAGACCCTTCAATGCTGCACGCTTGATTTTTTTGGAGGTACAAAATTAAACATAATTTAAATTTTATATTCTACTACATCTTTTCTAGAAGAACCCTGACATAATATTTATTACAGTCTCAAATAGTTGACTTCCATGAAGGAAAGAGACATATTTCACTTAAGTTATCCTAATTCCTCCACAAACAATATTTACATGGAATCCATGAGTGTGTCTATGTGCATGTGTGAGAGGGGGCCGTACCGACTCCAGACTTTGCTGGGAATCAGAAGAGGAGATTTTTCAGTGTTGCTGAAACGAATTCCTTTTCTTCCCAGAGCTAAGGACAAGAGAAACAGGCTGAGTCTTCTGGTGCAGAAAGCAGAGTTCCACGCGGACTGCCACCTCAAGAGACTAGGGCACCTGAGCAGAGACGCAAGGTGAAGAACTCTATTTTTGGGGGGAGAGAGGAAATGAATTTGCTGGAAAACATGTGTACATTATAAATGTATCTAAGATATGTGTTGAATTCAAAACCCCATATCTCTTGTCAACTGAAATTTTGTTGAAGTTCCTGTTTTCATTTTTAAAAAACTGCAGCACGTTGTGGTTGGAGTTCCCAGGAAATTGCATTTTAAGAAAAAAAAATGTGAAAGATACTCTGAGTTTAACCTCTTCTATTTGTTGAAAAGAGTATTGACCTAATTTATTCTTATTTATGTTTGTGCCTCCTAACGTAATAGATGATTTAATTTTTCCTCAAAAAAAAAAAAGCAGACATCAATGAAATCGAAATAAAACTGGCCAACATTCCTGACATTTGTAAGGTGACTTCAACTTAGACTCTAGAACAATGGAGAATCCTTGTGCAGTGTAACTGAGAGGAGCAATAGTAGCACCTACGCTTGAACAGATTCATAAATGACACTGTGCGAATTCCATCTCAAAGCAATCTCTCTCTTGCACAGAGTTCCCCCAGAAGAAGCAAAGAAATGGGGTGAATCATTTGACCAGCTGCTTTCCCACAGAGGTTAGTAATGCTTTCACCAAACAATTCACACTTTAATGGAAAATTATGCAAAGTATGTATTCAGTTTTGCAAAATAAGCCACGATAAACATTTTGAATGGTTATGAATTTTGGGTGATTTTTGCTTCTGACCAACAGAGATAGCTACAGAATAGTCAACAAATGGGAAACATTTTAACAGCCTGTATTTACGAAGGATCATTCACTTCTGGGTGAAATGCTAGTCATTTGTACTGTAATAAATACTGTTTACATTTCTTACATTTTCTGATTTTTGAAGGAGGTACCAAGTCTTTTTAAATCAATGATTAATTTTTCTCATGGTATTTTTATTACTCTGTGTGCAAAAATTTAAGAGTAATTATTTTGCCAGATATTTAAGAAGCCTTTGTGAAAACACCTGGCTTTTCAAAAAATTTGACAAACATTTTGTTGTGCATTTCATATCAATTTCTTCTTGAAGTAGAGTTTTGTTGCAAAGATGAGAATCAGGCATATAATGAAGGTAGAGCTTTGTGCGTGAGATACTGGATAAAGACAAAACAGAATGCCTCTTTGACCCTGCAGGGTGGGAGGCAGGTGGCTGGATTCCTACTCTTTGCAATAAATAAATAAATAAATAAATGGAGCAGATGGACACATTTTTGTCTTTCTTAGTTCAATGATTTCTCTCCTGTAACTCACTTGGTAAGTCCAACTGTTTAGATGGTGGGCCTAAGCAATCACAAGGTTTGTTTTTCTCTACGCTGAGCAGCCAGAGCTCCTTGACAGTGCAATGCGGTATCATTACAGAAACACCACACACTCCCGCATCCGCATAGCTTTATTCACACTCAAACATTTCCTGTCTATTACGGAAACACCCACACACTCCAACAACCCACAGCTTCTGTCTACACCTCCAGTACTTTCTGTTCATTTCTGTATTTTTGTCTGAAACACAAACACTTCTCAGCTCATCCCTGCATCACTCCAAGATCACTCCTATTTATTCTATTGATTGTGCATGATCTTATCAGTGGGTTTTCATCTTCCCAAGAATTCTTTTGAAAAGAATGTTTCTTTTGCCAAAACAGCATATGGTGGTGCCTGTAATTCACCTCAAATATCACATTCCGTTCACTGAAGCGTGGAAGCATCTAACCTCCCCTCATTTTCTGTGTTTTCCCCACTACAAAATCAAAATGGTCTATGAGGTCCTGGGGACCTGTCAGGTTCTCCAGAATTTCTTGATGAAAATTCTGTGTCTACAGACTGTCTCTGGAAACTTTCCAGAGTGTAATTTTGATTCATGGAAAGGAAATACAGTAGAGGAATCAGGCCTAAAGTTAGGGAGGAACACAGCCACTGGAAAGTCGTGTAAGAAGACACTTTTGCTGACCGAAAATATAACTTATTAACCATTCATCCCTGTTTTACCTGTCATCACTCCCTATATTTACACATTTTTTTTTACTGCTTTTAAGTATAAAATAATTTACTTATTAAAACTTTTGCCAAATGTCAAGCCCATCCTAGGCTTATAGTCTATATTATTTTTAATGGGCACATAATAATATTATTACAAATGTATGAGATATGGTATCAGATTTGAATAAATTTGTATGGTGTGTTTTGGTCAAAATAGGGTAAATAATTTATTGATCATCTCCCAACTTTATCATTGTTTTGTTTTGAGAAGATTCAAAATGCTAGCTATTTTGAAAAATACAACATTGTTAATTCCAGCTACTCTACTGTGCTAGAGAACACCGGAGCAATTTCTTCCTCTTTAATGCAATTCTGTACTCAATGCCAGCTTCTCACTACCCCACTCTGCCCCAACCCTCTCAGCCTGCTAACCACCATACGACACTCAGGTTTTATGAAATCAGCTTTTTTGATGTATACATATAAATGGAGATTGTAACATTAGCCTTGGTGTGTCCAACTTATTTTACTTAGCATCATAAATTCTAGTTCTACCTATGCTGCTGCAAGTGACAAAGATTTCATTCCTTTTAGACCTGAATAATAGTCCATCTCTTTATCCATCGTCAATGGGCAACGAGGTTGATTCTATATATTTGCAAATTTGAATGTGTCATCTTCACTGCGTTACTACCAATACTGTATTCAAGGACAGACCTGTTACAGAACAGATTATTCAAAACTGATTTTTTAAAAATTTTCCCCACATATCCAGCATTTTAGCACATTATTATTCTTTAATTTCATCAATCACTGAGAGCTGAGGAAATAAAAAAGAAATGGAATTCAGTGTTATACAACCTGGTTGTTTTTAGGAAGAACTAGACGTTTTCCATTTGTCAGTTTTCAATCCCAACATGTCATCATCTGGAAAACAGTAAATGGTCGAATACCATGACTGAGCTTGTTGCTAGGGAAAAAACTACTCAGAGGCGTTTTGACATTTTGAGCTGCATTTCTCCTCTGCAGCATGAAGGATTGCACAATCTTAGTTAAGCTCCATAATCACTGTGGCTTTGTTTCCTCAGGGTAAGTGGAGATAATATTATTAGCATCAATAAAAATAGATTTCTATCAGGATTAAACGGGATGATGAATAATAAATATTTTAAAATTATGAAGTATTACTATAATAAAAATAATATCAAAAATTTTAGTAATCTTTTTGTGTTTCCAGTCTACTCCCAACTAAATGATAGTCAAAATTCCAATCAAAAGTAATACATAAAATAGATTTGTTACTTTATCTACAGCTACATAATAATTATATACTATGCTATCCATCAAAATGAAAAAAAAAGATTAGTAGGGTTATTAGTTGTACAAAAAATACTCACCTGGCATTTTATAATTAAGCCTCTGTGAAAGCAGACAGTGAGAATTGAGTAGATAATAGAATCTGTTATGCTATTTGTGGGAACAAAAAGAAGCTATACAACCAGTTTACTCCAGAGAAGATAATACACACAAAACATCAACATTTAACTCATTTGGACTTGTTGGACATTATTGTCATCTTTCATTACCATTGTTCTAAGTTGATACTGGATTCACAAAATTACATAAAATATTGTTTTATGTAAATTTAAAAGTTTAAGTAGTCTATTACAATGCTATATATGTAAGGATAGGTATCCTTATATATTTCTATATATAGAGAAGTATATATAAAGTATATATACATATGTATTTGTGTATATGTATATAGATATATATATATAGAGAGAGAGAGAGAGGCATATAAGGATATATAAAAGTACCCTTAGAGAAAGAATAAAAGGATTTGTGTGTGTGTGTGTGTGTGTGTGTGCACGCGCACACAAGTGTATGGCTCTCTATCTCCTATATCTACTTCCACAGAGAGATCTACTTACATCCATATACACAGACTCTTCCCCTCTCTGTAAAATTCCCCTCTATAAAATTTAATACAATCTACATTTGGCTAGATTGATCATATCAACTTTAGCTCTATAATAACAAAAGGTTCTCATATTCACTAACGGGGTCAGGAGAGAAAGCGACCATTCAAGCTGAGCATCAATGCAGGCTTGAGACATTTAGCAGAGACGTTTGTCTAGGAAATTAAAAACAAAGCAATTACTTATTGCAAAACTTCATTTGAAAGAGAGGGATAGTTAACCTTGATAGACAATAGACCAGTAGTTGTTGTTGGATCGCACAGAAACCAAAGAATACAGGAATGATTTAATAATAATAACTCAGCTATTGCATTCAAATTTTATTCATACAGTTTAACTCTTTTAAAAAATACAAAATTCCATTGAAGGTAAATTTAAGAAAGTTTGAATGCAGTGTGGACTCCAATTAATAATAACATAAGAATATTGGTTCATTAATTCTCTCAAATGTTTCATAGCCATTTAAGATTTAATAATAAGGAAATTTTATGTTGGGTAATACTGTGATAATGTTATCACCTCTGTAAATCTAAATTTATTCTAAAATATTTATTTTAAAATGAACTCAGATATGTTATACAGAAAATTTGCAGGGGAAAATGGACCTATTATAAATAAGAAAAAAATTGTGTGGCAATTGTGGTCAGATAATGGGTTACTATCAATTTAGTTGTAAACCTAAACAGAATTAAAACGTTTTCTAGATAACCACCTAAATATTACTTTCTCTGAAGGGAATCTGTACAATGGCACCTAGCAGTGAGCACAGAGTACACACACAAGGATTTGTGAGCTAGAGAACGGGTCTATTGGCAGGACTGTTCCTGCTAGTTTTTGCAGTCTTGTGTCTGAATTTCATGCAAGCTCATTTTCATCAACTGTTTCCAAAGAAGTGGCTGTCGCAACTGTCCTTTCACAATCCTTGTTATAGACCTGCTTGCCTCAGCCCATGTTTTCCATATTCCTCAGCTATATGGACTTCCTTAGAGCACATCAGGAGTAACAGTCTTGTCATTTTAAACAAGATAAAACTTGTTCCAAACCATTTGTGCTCCCTTGCCATGACAATTTAATCCTTTGTCAAATAGGAAAAATAAATTCATCTGTGCCAACAAAGGTCATATACCCAATGTGCCAAGTATCTTAGCAAAATCTCTACTTTAATTGGCCTTATACCACTCAAATATATAGCACAATCCTTAAACATGTACTAGGTGTTTCATAAATAATTAAAAGTTAGACAAAGTTTCTCTAATGAGCAATGTCAGTCATTGGGATAAGGATGATTCTTTTGAGCTGTTTGTGCAAAACATTTTATTATAAATTGACATCTATTAATAATATGAGTAATAGACAATATTTCTGACATCAAGCTAACTTGGGACTAATTTGAATGTTTGCCAACCCAGGAACATTTGTGAAATATGAATACAATAAATTAAAATAACAAATTTTATCACATTACTATGGTCCATCCATATGCAAATATTCATAAAACAAAAGATGGTTTCCTCTTTCCAAGCCAGATCTGACATGAACCAAACTGTTTTCTCAGTACAATACCAAAAAAAAAAAAAAAATTATTTTGTCCACCTTTCTAATTCTTACT